GTATGAAGTCAATTTCTTATTCTTTAAAGAATGTTTATTCATTCTTGAAGGGCCAACTCGCCTGCATGTTTTTCAAACATGTCATGACTTCCCTGCAGCTAGACATTTTGGATTCAATAAGACCTTAGAACTTCTTTCTAGAGATTTTTAGTGGCCTAAAATATGGAAGGATGTTAAAGAATTTGTACTATCATGTGATATTTGTTCAAGGTCAAAGAATCCTCAACATTGGCGATATGGACTTCTTCAACCCCTTTCTATTCCAAGACAACCATTGTCATTTACTTTTATGGATTTCATTATAGATCTTCCACCATCAAGCTTATTTGACACTATCTTTGTAGTTTTTGATCAATTGACGAAGATAACACATTTTATATCTTACAAGAAGTCAAATACTAGTGAAGAGATAATAAGACTCTTTATTGACAATATCTATTATTACCACAGATTACCAAACAATATTGTGTCGGATAGTGGGCCACAATTTGTATCAAGATTTTGAAAGACACTCTTCAAGATTCTTAAGGTTGACATCAACCTTTCCTCTACCTTCCACCCTCAAACTAATGGCCAAACTGAATGGATTAACTCAATTTTTGATTAATATTTGAGATACACCATCAACTATCAACAAGGCAATTGGACTTCCAACTTGTCATTAGTAGAGTTTGTATATAATAATACAATCCATGCATCTATGCAACAAACGCTATTCTACTCAAACTACGGTCATCATCCAAAGTTGAATATGATAGAGCCTTCAAAGTCAACAAATCTAGCAAAAGAGGAGTTTGCTACGAAGATGGCGGAACTTCAAGCAACCATGAAAATTCACCTAGAAATAACTCAACAATGTTATAAGCTAGTGGCGGATGAATTGAAGAAAGAACATCCTCTATTCTAAGTTGGTGACAAAGTATATCTTCTTCGACGCAATATAAAAACCAATAGGCCATGTAATAAGTTGGACTATCGAAGGTTATGACCATTTGTGATTCAAAAATAAATTAATTTTATAACTTATTGCTTGGAATTACCTTCATCTATGAAGATTCATCTAATCTTTTATATTTCAATTTTGGAAAGGTATAAAGAATCAAACATACTAGGTCAAAGACAATCTCCACTTCCTATGGTTGAAATCAATGATCATATTGAATTTAAGGTAGAAGAGGTATTAGATTTAAGGATAAGATATAGAAGGCTTGAATATCTGATCTATTGGTGTGGATATGATATCAACGATTGCATATGGGAACTAGTTGGCAACCTTATAAATACACAAATGAAGGTTCAAAGATTCTATCAACAACATACATCCAGATCAAAAGTAACAAAATGAAGAATAGTAGCTTGGTAAAATGGCTTCACCATGAAGATTCTTAGTTCTTGGCCTCATAAAGAAGGGGAGGAGGCAACCTCTGAAGAAGCAGTTTTTTCAAATGTTTAGAACATTATAAGTCAATAGTTTGAGTTCATGACTATAGTTTGTTTATATTCTTTTGATCTTATCTACTTTATATGATATAGATAGTCAAGAAATAGATGTTATGCTGGTCATACCATTTCAACCAAGTAGCTCGCATAGACAATTCCAAGATGAAAAACAACCTGAATCACAAAGACATCAAAAGATATCTAGTAATGGATCGTTGATAATTGTGTTTGAAGTAGAACCTACCTATGAAGGACATCTAGAAGGAGTATTTGTAGGATAATTCCACAATGAAGATATCAAAATTCATGCTTGGTTACAAGTAGAAGGCTTGGGATACTATTGATGGCTACAAGGACCTATGAACCATTTATCTCGTAAAAAATAACTGAAATATATAGTGGATACCATACGACAGATCTTCAACTTCTTGGGCATATATTGACTTGTTATAATATTGCTTCTCAAAGACCTCAAAGCTAAAAGAGGAGGTGATGTCATAGACATACAACTGAAGAAGATTCTAAAAGGTTCCAGAAGTTTTTAGAAGATTTTAATAGCATCTAAAAATACTCTAGAAGATTCTAAGAAAGTTTTAGAAGATCATAGGAGATCTTAGAAGGTTCTAGAAGGCTTTGTATGATTTAGAAAGTTGCCAGGCTTCATAAAAACTTCTAAAGAAGCTTTCTAGGACCTAATATATATAGGAGTCGAGTCTAAGGAGATCCTCAATCTCGACAACTCATTTCTTGTGGTCTAACTATGACCTTCTTGCCTTGTATCTAGTTGTTGTTCTAATGTCAAGCTAACTCCATTTCTTGGTCTTGAATCCTTATCTTGTATATGGTCCCTAAGACATAAACATTACCTTGTATTTATTCTATTGTTGTTGTTATTAAGATGTTGTGGTACTTATTGGATAAATGACTTCAACTATTTTTGTTGTATTTTGCAAGATTATGACTTGTAGTAAAATAACTTATTAGACATTGTTTCTTATAAAAAAAAATATGTCAATTTTTATTCTTTGTACTAAAAAATTATTGGTTCTTTTTAATTTGTGTGGTTTGGCTATTAATGAGATTGATTTTGCATTCATAGTGCTCAAAGAAATAAGTTAGTTCTCTCCTTTATCTTAAAGTCACCAACTCTTAGCTTATGAGGGTGTTGAAAAGTCCAATTTTTGGCTTGTTCAAGCTTATTTGATGATGTGGCTCATTGAATTGACATGTAGTGTTATCTTTCTTTTTGTACTTCTCTTATAGGTTGAAGAATTTGTAAATGTAAGTTTGATGTCAATCATCTAGTTAACTTCATGTTTGTAGAAGTTTCTATCATTATAAAACAGATGTTTTGACAAGTGTTACAATATTGTATTGTTGGAAGCTGCATCTTGCTTTAATATCATGTTGAAAAAAAAATAGTATCACATCTAAGACAAGGATATAGAATAAAGGTGTTGCTTTCATAGTTGAGTGCAATGAAATTGTACTTATTAATACAAATCCACTATTTAGGTTTGTTGCTACTATTCTCTTTGGATTTACTATTTTATAGTTATTGCCACAATCAACTAATAGGTATGGGTGCCTTTATAAACTAAAGAGTGATTGTCAATCTTATCTACTTATAAGTTTTATAAACTTAACTAGTGACTATGTAATAAAGTACTTAAATGGATGGATTTGGTCTAGTTGATACCTTAAGTGAATAATCCTATTGACATGTTGATGTAGTAATGATCAAGATAGAACTTGTTAAATCATTTCAACATTATTTGTATTGATGCCTAAAACCAGTCGACCATTTAAGTGCAATGGTAATTCCTAATTTTATCTTCATTTTTACTTGTCAAGCTATTGAAATCAACTCTTGGTCATAAGAAAATGTCCAATGAATGTTGAAATGAGATGAAAAGATTGTTAAAAAATTCACTCACCATCACTTGTACATGTTGTTTTCTATATCCATATATTCTTAGTACCATGTGATAGTCATTTTAGTTGGATCGCTGCTACTACTTTCCTTCCATCATGCTTCCAGTTTACGGATTGTAGTCATATAATCACACATTCACACCTCTCTATTTCCATCTCCACATGAGTTGAGTACATATTTGTTCTAAGTTTGTAGTCGCTTTCTTTTTGAGAGATAATAATGAGATTAAAAAAACAAAAATAAGTAACCATTGCAAAACATCGTCACTATAATATGGACTTAGTTTTTTTTTTTAATAAGGTGAAATACTTGTTATATATTAGTCCATAGTTGCACAAATTTGGCTTCAACTTCTCAAAGCATGTTTTCACCGACATCAATATTTCAACTAATGGTCATAAAAATAGACCATGGATTTAAAGTTTGCCGAATGGTTATAAATCCAATTTAACAATCGGATGGGTGGGTATATTTTCAGGCTGCTTAATTGAAAAAAATAAAAATAAAATCAATTGAGCATATATACACAAATCAACTGCCTTAATATTTTGACAAATGGAGCCCTTAAAGTTAGTATTTGCACAGTAATAAAGATTTTGATTTACTCCATGAGTTTTCAATAAGAAGGGCATTCTTTTTTTCTTTTTTTCTTTTGCTAATATTCATAATATTGCATCTTATTATTTTTGATTTTTTGTATTTTTATTAATTGTATCCAAGAAATATCTGGAATCGTGAAAAATATTTCAAAAATAAATTCGGACTCAAAATGTAATTTTTAATTCAGAAGCTTGTTTACAGAGCACAGAAATTTATTTATTCTATTATTTTTAAAACTTCTCTTATATATATACATATATAAATATACGTATTATATTTAAAAGTTCTTAGGTATATATTTATATATACATTATGTACATTAATATATTGTATTTAAAAAATTATGTATGACCAAGAATTTGTATGTGCACATGTTAACTAATAGAAATTTACTGGACTTATTTATATAATTCAACTAAATTACAAATTACTAAACAGAAATTACAGTATCTATTTTTAATGTATAACACTAGTAAAAAGGTACAAAAAATAGTATGAAAAGATCTTTTGATACTTGTTTTGAAATTCAGTATAATTTTTTGGAGACTTCAAATGTAAGATACAACATAGAAGTTAAAAAGCTCGAAAAAAACACAAAAAATAAATAAATAAATAAATCAAAAATCAAAATCAAAATCAAAAAAAAAAAAAAAAAAAAAAAAATGCCAAAAACCTTTAAAAAAGAAGTAGCTAAGTGCTAAAATTTCAATAAATCATAACTGTCAAAATCATTATCTAGAATTATCAGATACACTGCAAGATAAACTTGTTTTTTTTTAATGAAAGGAAGAATAATGTCATGACCCATATAAAAAAAACATCAATTTTTTTCTTTTCTTTTAATACACAATCGAAAAATTTACACTCTAACACACATTTGAAGACAACATGAAGACAATATGAAGACAATAACAACTTAATTTTCGAATCATACCGTATTCATACACTATATATGAAACCGTATAATATACCCATCTCTTTCGAATACGTACACGGGAATGACAGCAAAAGATGAAAGCCGTGGAGTTTTAGGGTTCAGGGCTTTTGATGCAGGGCGTGCTGCTGCAGGTCTTGACGAGATTGATGTCTCCGCTTGTAGAAGAAGAAGCTATTCGTCGCAGCGTTTGTATGAGTACCGAGACCCACAATTAATTAATTGTATTAGGAGCAGGGAGTCATCGAAGTTTGGAACTGTGGTGTCTGGGGTGCTGCGAGTGGCGATTTCGAGCTTTTTGCCTCTGGGAAATGAAGCCGGCGGTCATGTAGATAGGAATTGCTGCGTGCAGATGGGTGCAATACGATTGGTGAGATAAGAAACGAGTAGCGAGATGGCTTCGAGTGGACGAAAACCCTTCGGGCAGCCGGTTCCCGCAGCCCCTGTTGTGGTTGATAGCAGCGGAGCTTCGTCTACGCGGTCCAGCAAACCGAGTTTTCATGAATGGAAGCTCTTTATGGTGCTCTCTCGTTCTCTCCTACGCTGGTCTGAATTCGCAAGGCGAGGGTTGTAGTTGTGAGGATTTTAGGCGCGATTTTTTTTTTTTTTTTTTTTTTTTTTTTTTTCATCAATTTCATCCTGGTTTTGAATGCTGCAAAATTGAGTAGGCAAGTGGATTTAACAGAGATCTCTTTTTCGTTTTTTCTTTCTTTTTCTGGAACGTTTGTTTTCATCAGTCGTCTAGAGCTTCGGATGTTTTAGCGGAAGCTGGTCCCATAAGAGTGAAACACGATGATGATGACGTCGAGCAAACCGCTGAGTTCAAGAACATATTGAAGGAAGTAGAGCAGCTAGGTTAGTACCTTGCTCCGAGCTTTACCTCTTTCTGTGCTTTCTTGAGGTCTTGGTCCTGTTGGTTATTGTCGAAAACTGGAAGGAGATATACTGTTGACTTGATTTTGGATTGTGATGGCTAGTCTTTAATCCAATGCAGCACACCTCGAATGTTTATGATTATTATGACAGTTTATTGCGGTTGGACTTGAGGAATTTTGCATCATGAAATTTCAATGCTGTTCCATTCAAAGGGGGCAAATGGGGGCTTTGATGTTAGTATTATATCCCTCCAACACATACCCTTCATTGGATCAGCTATTTCATGTACTGAATTTGATGATGACAACAGGAACCTCAACATTGGAATGGAAGGATCGCAAGAAGTTGGAGACTGCCAAATTGGTAGCTCTTGGATCAAAGGTAGAATTCAATTGCAGTCAACGCAGCTTTTCTTTTTGTTGATTTTTTCATTTTAATATTTTTAGGAGGTCTTTTGTGTTGATTTTTATTTGATTATATAATAAATATATGAAGGTTGTGAATATTGGGAGCATAATATCTGTTAGAAGGTCCTGTTCGTTCATGTACCTAGACTTAGATGGTATATTCACACGTTATAGAGAAACTTCAGAAAATCAAACCTATGGAATGTGTTAGCAGCTCACTTGGCTGTATTTGTTCGATGTTTGGTAAGCCTAGAGTTCCTTTTGCTTCATTTTTCCAACGAAGAAGTTTCTTCTGATTAGAGTTAGTTTGTGTAGTGAGGAGATTCACGTGTGACTAAACCAATCCCCACTTTATTATTGAAATACATGTCGCGTAATTGAGTGGCAGCCTCTCGCAGCGCTTGCGGCAACACAATGTGATGAATTATGTGACTTTGTCTTTTGAATCAGGCACCAAAGAGCTTTAAGATGCCCGTCTCGATGGGAGTTGGAATGAAACGAAAACAAGAGCATAGAGCTGAACAGAAGCGGCAAGATGTAAGATTGTCACATTCTTTCAAAACCAAGCGTGTACTTGTATTGGGATCAAATTTATTTTCAGATTTTTTCATTTAATATTGCGAACCTATTTTATGTTTTGCTGTAAAGTTGATGAAACATCTATGTGTGCCTTATACAGGAAATAGCGCAAGGTATTCGCTCGGCAAAACGCACTGCTGCGGAGAGGAAACCTCCTCCTAAAAGGACGGCTGAGGAGAGAGGCTTAAACGCTTCAGAGGGAAAATTCAAGGGAGGAGTACTGTATGTGACACCCCCATCCGCACCTGAAGGAAGATCATTCTCGAAGAGCTCTAAAGGTGAGGACAGGTTCTTTGAAGGTGGCAAGGGCAAGGGCGGAGGTGGCAAGAAGAAGGGTAAAGGTGGCAAGAAGAAAGGAGGCAAAAAGAAGGGAAAACGTTAGTGTGCGGCATCATTTGTAAAAGAAAAGCACCGTATTTAATCTTCACATTCAATGCAATCCCTTGTGCAATTTAGTTGGAAACATACCTCAAGATCTGCAGTGTGTAAACATTGTGGACAATATTGTTCAGTTGCATGTTCAATCAGAACTGGTTATCGTGAATTCTTTGTTCGACTTAGGGTCTCTTCACACGAGCTGAGGGGAAAGTAGAGGACAACGAAGTGTAACACCCATTTCGCTCGTAAGGATTCAATTATTGGTAGTAGTTGTAATGCACCATTTAATAGTTTTTATGTATCGAAAGCAAAGTAATATACCCATCTTTGATACTAGCCAAAGCTTAAAGATAACTTCAAATCTTGAGGCTGCATTCAAATCATTTTTTCTTGTCTGAAGCTTTTTACTTGTTTCGAGTTAGTTTGGTCTCAGATGTTATACACAAACTTGGCTGTTCCGTGAAATGGGTCACTCCTAATATCTATGTGTATCATCAATCAATGATAAGTTTAGAGTATCCTTGTTCTAATCATTGTTATTTTTGAGGTTTACAACTAACAAGAAGACCGAAAAAAAGAAAATGAGATTAATTTCATTTGATGAATGATATTTCAAAACACTACTCTGTCCTCGCATTAGCATCGTATTTTTTCATGTATTCGACCGTTTGAATTACAATCTTTCACTGTATTTGATTGTTTTTCATTTCTTATGGCATCATTTAAAAGTTTCTACATGGTCCAAAATTTGCTTTACTTTGATGTGCTTGTGTACAAGAATCATATATTGATTCACTATTCATCACAAGTATAGGCACAATAATAATAATAATAATAATAATAATGTAGATTGTTAAAAGATAAACAACACCACCTTAAAAAGTCGTTCAATTGTAAGTTTTAATGGTGCAAACAAGGGAAACCCTAGTTTCATGAACCACCTAGAATTAAACTCACACTAAAACCACCCTGAAACAACAAGTCAATCCCAAAATTACACAACATAAATTACCATCAACAAGCACATACTTCTACATGGTAAACCTCTACAAACACAAGTTCTCAATACAAAATTTCACGAGAGAAAATAATGGTGTGTTATGACTTTCTACTTTTTTCAACTTCGTTCTACTTGCTGTGTTCTAAGGGGTGAAGGAAATCTCAAACCATCATTTAAAGACGAACAACAACAACACAATGTTAATCGGGGCAGTCAGGGCAGCAGGGGGCCAAAACAAAATTTCCGATCACTGCCCGATCTGCCCAACAAACAGAGCTGCCCGTGCCCGACGGTCAACAAAAAATGGCGTGCTGAGAAACTGGAACATGTCCGAGTCCAATTGCATTAATGACCAGCGGTCGTCCGAGAGTCACGTTGGCCATTCACCAACTACCACACTTATAGTCGCCGTCGCGGAACCTTCACCCATATCCTCCGTCCAACGGTCAGAGGGAGATTCCGTCTCCTACCGACGGTAGCCAAGCCGAAGGGGCCCCACGATCATGTCAAGCACGTTGCTCATTTAGATGGTCCAATTCGATGCGGGCCTTGGTGCTTGTGTGTGTTGCTTTCGTCGCAGCTCGGTTTTTCTCGGCATCGTCCATTTTTGGATGTCGTGAGAGTCTTATTGCATCGATTTCCGGAGGTCAGCGAGAGAGTGAGAGGGCGAAAGGTTGGATTGTGGGTTCATGAGAGGAGTGTTTTGGAATGAGCAGTTTGGCTGGAGGGCCGATTAATTGCGTGGAATCGTTCGGTGCGGGGGTGAAGAGAGAATTTTGTGCTGGTGCATTGTTGGGTGCGTGTATTGTTTGCGGTTTCAGGAAGAAGGAGGAAGGGGTTTTTCTGTGATCAAGTTTTAGTTGGGTTGGTTAGGTTAAGACGCTGACTAAGAGATTAGTTATCCGTGAGATTTTGCGAAATTGTTGTGTGTGTGTGTGTGTGTGTGTTTTATTCAGGTTGAGAGATGGCTTTCGATATGCGAGGATGGGGTGTGAGTTTGGATGCATCGTGCGAGGACAAAGTCTCTGAGGGTGTGGAGCTTTGCCCATTCCTGAGGAACATTGGCGTCTCCACCAGCTTTGTCTTCTCCAAATTGAAGCTCCCCACCCCTGCCCCTGTAACTCCCTGGCTGCTTTTAAGCTATTTGACTAGTTCTTTTTTCTTTTTTCTTTGCACGATATGTATTGGGGATGGTGTGCTCTGCAAATTAATGCAGTTCATCTAATCTATGACTAAGAAGGTCGCTGACATTAACTCAAACAAAGTGCCGCTTTATAAGACGTTGTAGCATGTCAGTTCACTTTGAGAATACACCATTGGCTTTGACACTGTTTGTCAGCAGCTGCTGATGGATTTGAGCCTTACCTACTGAGGTGCCCCTTTTTTCTGAGCCTTACTTACTGTAATATTGACACTCACACCTATTTGAACTCCGCCTCTACAGTTGCTTATGCGAAATAGCTCCTCAGATGAATGGACACTAGTTTTACAGCAGAAATTACACCTCTGTTGAATCGGAAGCGCGCCTGAGTGCTGTCATCTAGTGAGTTCACGACGTAGAGACTCATTATACAAACTGCGATTGTGGGACATCATAGGACATTCTGACATTAGCCCCATCTTTGATGAGTAGCTAACCCCACCAAAGGAACGAGATTCACTTAATCCTATGTGGTCAAGCAAGAGGCACGTATCAAAAATTTTGTGATGGACAGGAGTGCACGCTACAGATGAAACATTTAGACGGTTCGAAGTTCAGATTTTGAGTTGCTATCTTGCAAAATATGCAGACGAGAGCAGGCCGCGGTCCAATTTTCGAGGATGGGCCAGGTTTTGAGAACTCCTTTCGCCTGTTCCACGGCAAGGATGGTGTCGTGCCTTTGAAACGGGCGTCGGGAGAGCAGAACGCGCGGTCATTCACTGAGACACTTGACGCGGAGGATCTGAGTTTCCATCCGTTGTCTGCTCGCGCTGCCACCATCAGCTTGTCGTCGTTCGGAGCAGGGGGGCCATTCGGATTTGATGGGTTCATGGCAAGGCAGAATGCGAAGAAGCCGAAGGAGAAGAAGCCAAAGAAGGAGACGGAGCCTGAGAAGAAGCGTCGGTCGAAATTGGAGTCTCATGTATGGGAGGGATCTTAGCTTGATTTGCTTTACCTTGCCTTGTCTGGGTGGTGATGACGCGTGCAGAACAGAGGAGTGTGGATGTTTGGATGGGATTTGGAAACATGGCGTGTCTCTGACGACAGGGCGTTGTGATGTGCAGATGCACGAGGCGATGGGGAGCGAATGGCTAGCGACGGGGCAGTGCCCGATCGCAAAGTCGTTCCGCGCCGTGAGTGGCGTGTTACCGCTGGTGTCAAAGCTGTTGCCAAAGCTGCCGCAAGGAATGAAGTACAGGTGCCCGCCAGCGATAGTGGCAGCGAGAGCGGCGCTGGCTCGAACGGAAGCAGTGAAAGCACTGAGACCGCAAGCGCTGCCAACAAAGGTGTTAGCAATCGGGATGGTAGGAATGGCACTGAACGTGCCGCTGGGAGTGTGGCGAGAGCACACGAAGAAGTTTTCTCCGCAATGGTTTCTGGCTGTGCATGCGACGATCCCGTTCATCGCAATGCTGAGGAAAGCGGTGGTGATGCCGAAATATGCGATAGCGTTCACAATAGGGTCTGCAATACTGGGTCAGGCAGTGGGAGCTCGTGCTGAGAGGATTCGTTTAGCCAAGCTCAAATCCTCAATCACTCCTGACCAAACTGAGCAACTTGAGCCCTTTAAAGAAGCCCTGGCTGTGGAGCTTGGTCCCCAGTGTATCAGCCCGGCAACAATCAACGTCACTGCTGTGAATGCAGATGTAGTGGGAAAGGTGGCCATCCGAGATGAAGCATCTTCTCAACTACAGACGGAGTTGTTGCCCTGCGACTCAGTGTCATCAGTGATAGAGAGAGGTATTCACTCCAGCATTACACATCAGAGACAAGACTTCCCAGTTGTGGAACAAATTGACGAACTGTGCATTGAAGTGCCGTCGAAGATGGGTGCCACCCACAAGAGACTCACAGCGTTACCAGGTACTTTGCACTGTGGCTCCGAGGCACTTGTGACTTGCTCAATGAGCCCTGTTTCTCAGCCAGTATTGGTCAATTGATCCTGAAGATGAATTTGCCAGCTCTCATTTCGCATCATCTCTGTTTCTTTGTTGCTCTTTTAGCTCATCAGTAGAATGCAGGAAGAATTGGGGGTGATGTAGAAAACGTTAAGTTGGTGAGGTAATGGTCCTTTTCTTTGGTCCGTTTTTTTCTTTTTCTCCCTTTTTTTTCCTGGATGTGACAGACGAACATTGTATCTGTCCCTGAATAAATGAGTACCCAACTGGGTGTGTATTGGGCAAGTGTACACACTTGCAAAGGCAGGAGACGACTCCACTATTCCCCTCTGCCGTTTTATACAGAAGACTCATTTGTTGATGTTTTCTCATCAACAGAAATATTTGAAATCTGAAGGAATAAGTACCACTTGGGCTTAAAACAAAAGAAAAATAATCTTCAAAAATTCATTGAGGATGTGATTTTTCTTTTTCTTTTTGCTGTACTGAGGGTTCAAAACATCACTTCTCAATGGGTGAAATTAGTCCCAAAGGCTTCGTATAAAGGGTGGAAGTTGATTGTTTGAAAAGCTAATTTATGACACTGTTAAGAAGGTTTTGACTTAATCTTAAAGCTTTAGATTTTGAGGCCTAACCTGAATGGTTCACCATTAAAAAAATCTCTTTTTGTTTTATTTTTGGCTTGTGTATTTTCATTGCATTATATGTACATGTATATATATATATATATATATATATAGCTTCTGAGCAAAATAATCTTCAATGTTCAATTCAATGAAAGTTAAAAGAAGTCTTCAAGTCCTAAAATTGTAAGTGGTTTTATATGAGGGTTTTTGGCTTCAATTGTAATCGTATTATATTAGTTATTTTGGGTTAATCTTCTAATCTATTGTATTGATATTTGTACCATTGTAATTTCTAGATTATCAAGTGTCAATTTTTTCTACCAAACAAGTTAGATATAAAGTATATTATAATAAATTCTTTTAACTTCATAAAGCCTTATAATAAAATTATTTATAATATTATTACAATAAAAAAATTGTAATAGACATGTTTATCAATGTTCATTTTTATTTTTTATTTTTATTTTTTTAATTAAAAATAAAAGCCTTTTTTAAAAAATATTCTATAGTATTGATATACCATAAAATTGAGAATTCAATAATATGATATAATGCAAATAATTTAACAAAGAATCATTTAAATATGTATTATGAATACTATAAAAAAAATAAATAATCAATTTATACATGATTAGTTCCTATTTGAATATTTCTCTTTTGAAAAAGGATATTTTTTAATCAATTTTTAACTTTCATGTTTTTTTATGAAATTTCATTTGTAAAAATATAAATGCTAGTAAATTGTAGTGAAGCAAATAGAGAAGAGAAGACACCTAAAAAATCCTTCTTAAATAAAACAAAGTAGCATTCTTACAATTAGTAGATTAAAGACTTATAATAATACAAATATTGGCCGAATTGTGCATCATAGCATCTAAAGGATTAGATTCCTTTACTATCAAGGATGTGATATTTTTTGGTTTTTGTTGTGACCCATTGGAGTTATGAAGAAAAATGTGCATGATATATTTCAAAAGTTTTAATATTTATCAAAACATATTTGTTATTCAAGGTAGAAGTGAACCTTTATAACAAAAGTAGTAGCATGTCATTAATTTATTCTACTTGCTTCATTTATTACCATTGCAAATAACTTCATTCATTAGCACTATAAACTAAATAAGTAATCAACTTAGTTTATTAAAATATCACATTAAGCTCTAATTTTATGCAAATCAACTTTGATAGATTAATACAATAAATTAGATTGTATTTATGATCCACTTGTACATAATTGTGAGAAAAAAGTCATTCTTGTAGGAAATGTGCAAACATTATGTCTAAAACTTTTGTAGTTTTTGCAAAGTTATATTATTGTTGCTACTTGAATAGTTTCAAATTATGCAATAGAATGTTGGATGGATGCTTTAGTATGTTTATCACTTTTCAATCTATTTGTTGCTTCATATAGTTTGTCCTTTAGATGACTGACACTTGGATTTTTCAACCTCACCATAACTATTCGAAGCTCCAATAATTGATCATATACTTTCTATTATTGATGGAGAGGTAATAGATGAAATGTATGATTGTTAACATTATAGACAAGGTATAGATCTTTAGAAGTAGTAAACTAAATTTGTGGCATAGTAATAATTAATAATTTAAAATTATTTTTAAATAATAGTAATGTCAAAAATTAGTAATTGTAAAAACACCACCATTTTAAAGTAAACTTTGAATCTAATGCTTATATGGAAGGCCTAATATGTTTGTCATTGTCCTTATGTAAGAGGAAGTGTTATCATCAAGTATTATTCTTGCATATTTATATTGTTTAAAAAAAAAGGTTTAAATCATATAAAGAGACATATTTCATAACATTGGCAAAGAAACCAATATTATGTAGACAACATATATAGATTTTTTTTGAATTTTCTTGAGCCTTGATTTCTCTTGTTGTATTCTCAAAAAAGTGAAAGAAAGAAATTTGAACTTCTTAAAGGTCTTTGATAGACATTTTCAAATGTGATTTTAATATTGAATGTTAGTCTTTTATTCATCATATAATAACACTTTCAAAGTAAAGTAAATTATTTGTCTTAGCTTTAACAAATTATTTTTTATTTGATATCCAAGTATTTTATAAGTACACAATAATTGCATAAACAAAAATAGAGATATACTTGTTGCATAGATTATACCATTTTATATTGTAAAGCTTTTTGAAAGAAGCACTAAATAAAATGATTTAATTTTCAAGAAATAAAGACCAACATGTTTCCACCTAGTTCAAAAAATACTTCTTATAATTTGCTAAATTTATTTTTTTGAATATACCAAATGTAGAATAATAAAAATGAAGTGAAGCACTAATGTAATGGCATAAATTTATGTCAAATCCCTATTAGTAACAATGGATATGGATCAAATATCTTTATATATTATATAATTGAAAAAATTAGGTTGACGTCCAAAAAAATATATATATTTTTTCTTAGAAAAAAACAACAATAATGGTTAAAGAAGTATTAATTTTTTTATTCCTACAATATGCAATATAGACATTCTAAACTTATTTTTTTTGTATGTATAATCCACAACAATCAAAGAAGTATATCATTTTATAAATTTAACACAGCTAGAATGTACAAAAAATAGAGAAGTTATCTTGTTGTCTTCATGACATCAATAAGTAAATTAATAATTAGTGGCAAGTAAATTTTTCACAAAGCAAACAATAGGTGAACGACCAAGAAGCATAATATGATGAAATCTTTGACTTTCATTGTAAATAATAAAAGTAATAACTTTGCTATTAGAATCTCTTTCTTGTAAGGCAATCACGAAATGCTTTGGTGCCACTTCTATATTAAGAAACCATGGTAGGCATCTAGTCAATTAACTTATAGTATTTTTTTGGCAAATATAATTATTTTTCTCACAATGAACTCTTCTTTTGTCACACTTTAAATCAATGTCATCCTTATCAAAGAATGTTTGCAAATAACATATCTTTGACTATATGCAAATGTATCTCTTCTATCTTTTAAAATACTTCTTTGATAGAACAAACATGTATGCTTTATTTTCTATTGCAAAATATAAATAATTATAGAATATATAATTTTCTCTCCTCTCTATACACTAGATATAGTATCAAAAATAAGAACATTATAGTATAGCATGAACATGAAGAAGATTAAGTAAATGAGAACTTGTAGATATGAAAAGCAAGGCAAAGAAAAATATTTGTTATTTGTAGCTATTGATATTAGTCATATTTTCATGATTGTATAAACTATAATTATAAAAAACCATGATTTTTTTCATCCAAATGATGATGATGGTTTTAATGATGAAGAAGATCTAAACAATTTATGTATTGATTTGTTATGATGAATGGATCAATTTGATAAAAGACTATATCTATTTAATATTTTTCTTTTATAATTATTTATATTAATTTTCAATCTTTAATTTTTTTTCAAATATATATTTTTAGAATACTAGTATAATATATAATTTATAAAAATAATATTAAAAAAAAGTAATCAAAATTTTCTAAACATATTTTGTAAAAGTGGAAAAAAATTAGTTTTGTTGAGGAGAGAAAAAAAAAATTACTTTTGTATGTAAGTTAATTTAAAAGATCTTTGATGAATTAACTAAAATTTAAATTTTAAAAAATATATTACAAAATAAAAAATATTTTATATTTCAAAAATAATTACTTTTTTGAATTAAAACATTAATATGCATATTAAGATTAAATATTTGTTGTTGGAATTCATATTAAAAATTAGTTATATAAATATATATATATATATATATATATATATATAAACTAATAGAAGTACATTACCATATAAAAAATCAGTAACATATTATATCTATTAATCAAAAATCTACATGCAATAATAATAGTTTTAGTACAAAAATTAACAAACATTAAAAATTTTAGTAATTAATTACTTATCCTTTTAAATACGTATTTAAAATTTTTAAAAATTATATTTTATTTTTATTCTTTTTACTATTTTTTAATATATAACCAAATAAATCAAAAAAATATGAAAATAACATAAAAATATAATTTTATTGAAAGAATTGGATTTATATATATATATATATATAGAATTAAAACTAATAATTTTAATCAATAATAAATTATGTTATCAAAATTTATTTTTTTATTTTTTAAACTCAATTTTATGAAATATAAAGTAATATTTACATATATCAAACATATGACTTCTATTTTTTCTAAAACAATTATATAAGTCATTAATTTTAATTGATAATTTAACTTTGGCATGTTTTGACAAACTAGTTTCAAAATCTTGCACTGTCTAGAAGTCATGTAGATTTTAGCCTTCAATACATTCTATTAAGCTCCAATTAAATTTGGAGAATCAATGCATCACAAAGATTATAGATCACAATCAAACTTGACGAGAACTTAATGTGAATTTCAAGAAGCATGTTCAATATCTAAAATGGGACAAGACTATTTCAAAAATCTAAGATCCTTCTAATCCACACCAACATAAATTCCATCACAATGTAGTATAGAGTAGGCTACAATAAAAGAAAATAGAATATAACTAAACATGAAGATACAAAACCAAATTTTACTAAGAGAAAGGATTTGAAGCCATACCTGATCAAATACCTAAAAAGCCTTGGCTAGTCCTATTTATACTTTGTCCAACCATCCTCAAGCTTTTAGAACATTCGTAATAGTGGATTCGACCTAAATAACTCTGTTAGGGACATATTCCTTAGAACTTTCTAGAGAGAAGTTTCTAGAACCTTCTAAAAAACAAGCCTCTGGAACCTTCTAGAAGAGAAGCCTCTGAAACCTTTTAGAGAGAAGTTTCTAAAAGCTTCTAGAAAGGAAGTCTCTGGAACCTTCTAGAAGAGAAGCTTCTAGAAGCTTCTAGAAAGGAATCCCCTGGAACTTTCTAGAAGCTTCCTAGTTAATAGAAGTAGCTCGAGAA